GTTGAAAAGTCACAATCCAGCACCCTCAGATGAGTGCTTCTGTGGGCCCTGTTTTTCTCCTCCCACCCTTATCTATGCATACATGAGCAATGCAAAGAGCTATTAGAATGAATGAAAGATCTGCTCATGACTCCCATATCTTTCTCCACCAAGCCACAGGGAAGGGGTGAATGGGAGTTGTATACAGGCCTATTTGCTCTGCCTGCCTGTTGGAATTCTCCACATGTGGGCACTGTTCTGTAGTGAACTAGATCTCGTGGAGCAGAGGTCCATCAGTGGCTATTAGTCACAAGGTATAGATGGAACACTATGTCTAGAGCAGTGATGCTCTGTATTCTTGGTGCTTGGGGGGGCAACAGTGGGAGGGCTTCTGGAGTTCTGGTCCTGCTGGTATACCTCCTGATGGCACCTGAGTTTTGTCCACTGTGTGACGCAGAGTGTTGGACTGGATGGGCCATTTGCCTGATCCAACATGGCTTCTTGTATGTTCTTATATCTCACTTGATTCTTTGCATAAATTCTTGGTAATATTTATAATGGCCTGCATTAAGTCCCCATATTGCAGGGGTCTGAGGTGTTGTGGCTGAGGTTAAAAACAGCAACTTGTCTAGGGCCACCAAGTGAATTCAAGAATGGCTGAATTGTTCTTGTTCATACTACCTGTTAACTGGATTGTGTGTTACAGGCAAATTGTGAATGGGAAACTGTTGTTTATGGGAAGACAGAAGATCAGCTTATCATGACTGAGCAAGCAAGAAGGTACCTGAACACCTACACAGCTACTGGCAGCACTTCAAGGGCTCTGATCTTGTGATTGTTACAAATGTACCAGTCTGCCTTTTCTTTTTCCTATGGACTATATGCTGAATTTTTTTTCCAGCGATGTACATTTTGATTCTTTTTGTAAGTGCAAGGATGCCTTATATGGGAGAACAAGTCTCTTTTTAGCAAATAACAACTGTCTCATGAAAACCTTTTCACAAAGTGAATTTTAAATGGTCTTTTTAAAACAATCTAAAGGAAATTGTGAAAGAAATAACTTTTTTCTTTTAAGCCAATTTTGTAATTATTCTTTATTATATGCTTTTACTCTTCTGTTAAGGAATGTTTAATGTAGAATAGGTTTACAGGTACTTTGGGAAAAATAACCTACACAACTTTTTGGAAATGCTTTTGCTTAAACGCTCATTTACTTATGTAGCAATTTTATAAAGAAACACAAAAGAAAGGAGACCTAAAGGAAGAATAGAAGGTTGCACTACTAGTTCTAGAGTATGCTGCACAGACTTAACTACAGTGTTAAATATATTTATTTGAGAATGGTACTTCTAAGAAGAAAGGGAAAAGTTGAATTTTATTAGGGTAATGCATCAGTATTCATAAATCTGCAACTGAGACCCATTGTTGAATGTATTGTACAGTATGTAGGAGCAGGAAAGCTTTTGTAAATTGGAAGGGCATTTGTGTTTAATTTATTTTCATTTTAAAACCTAAGGCTGCAATCCCACAAAGCATGCACACATTCCTACTGTGTTGTAAAGGCAGTAGCACATTTACAGCATGCAGAGGCATTTTAGCACCTGCTGCTCAGAGACTCCTTGGCTCCCCCCCTCTATTTTCTTGCTTGTAATCTCTGCTTCCATGTACAGTCTCTTATCATGCACACCCATTCCAGTTCTTTGAGAGGGCCCTGCATCTCTTGTTTTCTTCCTCAGCTACTTTGGTCTGTGGCAGTTCCTTTCGTCCCTTATTTCCCATATTCACAGCTCAGTATTTGTAGGATAGAAATGGTAGTCTCAGTCCTGAGAAGGCAGTCCGTCCATCTCCTCTGGGAGCCAAATCTGCCAGCTGAACCTCTTTCTTGTTCCCATGTCTAAGCTGTGAGAACACCAGGCTCTGCCTTGATGTGATAGGAACTGGAAGAATTGTGCAGAAAATACAATTCAGGGCAGCAAAAAGTTTATTTTTTCTTTTTATAAGGAAGCTGAGAGCAAAAGGAAAATTAAATGAGGCAAGCCCTAGTGTAGGTCCACCATGGAAAGTTGTAAGGACCCTCTGTAGGTCAGAATGATGTGAGCAGCTTGTGGAGAGAAGAGATCATTCTTACCAGGCTATGCTGAACTCAGCTTGAGTATATTGCCAGTACTAAGAGAATCTTGCAACCTCAGAGATCCTGAAGTGTGCATGTTAGGGAAAATGAGGAGCAAACTGATGGTGGTTATCACATCTACCCCCAGAAAAGGGAGGTGGAGGAGACTAAGGTCCAGTACCACATAAAATATCACAACTGGCAATGTTGGGGAAGGATTGTAGAATATTATGCACTGCAGAATGTAACAAGTTTAAAAAATGAGAATGTACCACATCTGTCCTGGTCTCCTCCAGCAAGTGTCCTAACTTTCAGTTCTCACAAATGCATGATAATTCTCATTGGCACTGATTTGAATAGTTATGGGACCTGAGTCTTCTCTGGTTGGGGTTAACATGCTTGCAACTTACCTTGTTCTACTGTGTCTGATCATTGCATGAGTTAAGGAAAGCATGCTTTGTTGAATTCATGGAAAAGCACAGGTCTAGGTATAAACACCTCCTCCCCCCAAGAGGGAGACTTCCTCTTTTGCAGGATTGGGTGGTTTTTCCTATAGTCTGCACAGTGTATATAGGAAAAGGGAGAATGTAAGGTACTCTCTGTGAAAGATAGTGGTGGAGGATCTGTTGCTAGGGCATCGTGCTTGATGCTCTGTAAACCTCAGCGCCTCAAATAAGTCTGTATTGACACAAATGCTATGTAGGATTGCAGCCTTAATGTGTGTATATATATATGTATGTATGCAGGTTGTCTATAAACTGCTGATGTTTTCCTGATAAAGTGACTATAGCAGAAATGAGAAGGAGAATTTTAACCTTGGCGCATAGAATAGCAGCAGCATTACATGCTGTGAAGGACATAAGCTTGCATGTAATCTACTTCAGAATTGCACTGTCCCCTTTTTAAATCATGTTGGTCTACACAGTAGTTTTGAATTCAGCTTAGTTATACTACAAGTATTCCAATAACTTGGTTATAGAGGGTTATGTTTATGTAAGAACTGAACTTGATGACCTGCTGTGTGAATTCTTGCGATCCTATTCAGGGGTTGACACCGAATTTATTTATGCACCTGAGAGAAACTGTGGGTGGGTTCACATAGTCTCCTCTGTATGAGTGCCATGGGCCTTCTGGGACCACCTGTGCCTACTTTTATCTTGGGAGCTGGTGATATGAACTAGACTGTAGACAGATATAGCTGCAGACTTGCCTGTGAATATGGTAGCTGGAAGAAGTGCTTCTGCAGTTGCTAAACTTGCTGTTGGCAGTTATCTGTTTACAGCCTCGGTTACACTGATATTTCCCATTGTAGGCATAGGCATGTTCATGGTGTGGGAGGGGCAATGAGAATGGGAACTAGTTCTAACACATTAATATCTGCTCTTGGAAGCCTCAACTACACAGCTCCTGAACTTTTAAAATACTTCAGTCTTTTTATCTGTGCTTCACACTGTCATGGGTTACAACAGTTGCTTCAGTTTACCTGCTTTAGACATTTGCACTTATTTTATCCTGTTTGAAGGAATGTCTTGGTTTTGCTTTGTGATGTAGCTATTTTTAGTTAATTGCTTGCAGAACATAATGGTGTGCTGTCAACCTAAGTACTGACAGGTAAATAGAATTGTATACTGTAGATGTTAGCTATTTATAAATCTGACACTCTTCCTCTCCACTCCTGGGTGTGCTGCTATAGATAGCAGCAGAATCTGCTTGCTGCTATGAGAGAAGGAAAGAGCGAGCATCATATGCACTGTATGTAAATGACAAATAGAATGATGGCATGTTCTCAAGTTACCGCTGATATCAGCTGTTTTGGTGTGGGGAGTAACACACTAGCAAGAAACTTGATACCACCATGGGCTCTCAGAATGAATTCCCTTGTTTTGTGTGGTTTGTAAAACATAGAATACTTTTAAAACAGCTCAAGGCCCCATACCATACTTATTTATTTATTATTCTAAAGGAATATTTATATATAGGATGTTCACCTAGTTGCCTTCAACAGGCACACAAAGTTTTATCCAGTTTTAAAACTGTTTTGAGGTTTTTTTTAAGAACAGCTCTCTAAAGAAGAGAATTATTCCTCCTCATTGAAATGTGAGAAACCAGTTTGGAACTTTCTATGGCATTGTTGGTTTTGGCGCATTCACTCTTTAAGGAAGCTTCTTCTGAAGACTCCCCGTCTGAAGCACGGAGGAGTTAAGTGAATGGGGCAGGCATAGTAAGGCCACAGTCCAGGAGATTACTCATCTAAAGATATGTCCACCATAGCTTTTTTAAAAATTGCAACACAGTCACAAGCTTCTGACACATAGTGGCAGGCTTGTGTAATCGTGTGGGTGAGTGACATCTCCTGCTGGGTGTATATGAGCACTTAACCTGCCCCTAAACCAGCTGTCTGAATTGCAGCCAGTATGCTAGGATCCAAAGATTCCCCTTTGTGTGTGTACCCTAGTTTGTGTATTTTGGCTGCAATTCCCAGTGCTACATCAGCACCTATTTTGGAGTGTCCACTGATTTCCTGGAGTGGCTCTTAGTGGAGGGGATTTGAAAAGTAACAGTAGTATTGGGGTGGGGAGACTCAAGCTCTGCAATGCCAGTAAACTTTGCCTGAAGCTCTTTGGAACTCCCTGCTGCTTTGCAGGAGGTATGTAAATTATTCTATAATTAAAAAGTGGTACCAAAGCCACCATTACCAGCATTTAGCAGAGGTCTCTGGTACATAGTACCATAGTTGAATCTTCCAGTTAAGTGCTTTAGTGTTGCTTTAGCAGAAGAAAAGGTTTAAAACCTTTGACATGTTAGGCATCTCCTTTTTATTTATACAAATGCCTTTTCTGTCTTAGGAGCATTGATCTTTTTAAAAAGTTTATAAGTAGAATATACCTGCAGCAGCCAAACATGCATGTTGGAAACTGACAGCATCTGTTAATTCTTACGGTTGTTTTAAAGTTTTGTCTTTAATGATAAGGTGAATCTTAATGAAGTTGTGTTGTGTTTGTTGTTGTACTGCAGAGTTTGTTTCATTAAAAAGTATTTTGCATACAATGCAGGTCTACATTAACATCAGAAATAAAACATTTATGTATACATCTGCTGGACACAAGCATTTTCTTGTTGGTATTTTGTTCCTTGTTACTCAAAATATAAAGTATGCCTTACTATATCTGTTTCTAACTTGTAGAGGTATTAACATTACCCAGTTATTGAAATGATATTGCTTTCAGCTTCCCAGTTGATGCCTTGGGCTAATGGGAGCAACAGTAACTTGCTTTTGATGCAGGCAACCCCATTCTTCCCTTGGTGAAGAGAAGGAGACCAGTGTGTGTGTGCACTTATTTTGACAGGGGCAAGAACTCAGGGGGTTGGGGGCCAAGTGTTGGTATGGGACAGTGAAAGGGATCTGAGATATGGAAGAGCTAGAACCGAGGAGTGTTGGGGGCAAAACCAGGTAACAGATGGGAGATGGAAGACAAAGGCCTAAGAAAATGGAAAGTTGACCAATCGAATAAGTTGGTGCCTGGGGATTAAAAATGGGTAGCAGATGGATGGCAAGAGTGTTGCGAAACAGAGGAAGGAGAGAATGCAGATTCCAAAGGCAAAAGGGGAAATCCAAAAGAGAACAAGCTAGAAAATAAAATTCAGAAGTGGTGACAATATAAAGCAGGTGACAGTGAAATAAAATGTAAATGAAATGACAAATATTGATTTTTATTTCACTATTA